AAGGCCCTTTCCAACTCTAACCATTCTGTGATTGATTCTGTGCTTGCATCTTTTTAGATTTGAAGATATGCTTAAACTAAACACCCGCTTGTGGAGATTGCCCCCAAGAGGATCCCATCCAAATCAGTGACCTCTGGTGGGTGGGTTTGCTGCCACAGGACCAGCGATGCCATGGTGTGGGGGCATGGGACCACCTGCCTGCGAGCTCCCGTCCCCTGCTCCCGGCTCACGTTTGCTGACCCCTGCTCCCTCTACCCATTTCAGCTCTGCTGTGAAAATACACCCCCCCTCACATCCGGAATCCCCACAGAAACAAGCTCTCAGGTTGAGACGTTCTAAAGGGATTGTTTTGCGAAGAGTCAAACAGCTTGTTAGGTAGAGATAATTAATTACTAGCCCTGAACCCTTCCCACTTTTGAAGTGAAGCCATGAGTGATTCTCACTGTCTTGGTTTCCTTGTGACAATATAGATTATTTCTAGGTTTTTGTCCTCATTAACATATGGAGACTTTTCTCAGATTGGATGAATTTTGCAGCTCCAACCCCAAACTGGTCTGTGACGTTTTCTTTGTGACTGTTCACCTGCCGAAGTACCAAGAATTACTTTCCTGCATGACTGAGGGAAAGTACTTTGGAAATTATAAATGGGGTCTTGAGAGGCTGTGGTTTATTTTATATTGACCTGCAGCCTCTTCTCCTCACTGCAGCAGTTAACATGCCTTAAAAATGCTGAATTGCTCTTAATGAGAACATGGATATGCTGTTGCAGACTAATTTCACCATCCTTCAGGTTTATAGCTAGCAGATTTATGCAGCTGGCTCCCCCGACCCCACCCCCCCCCCAGGCTGTAGGTTGCCTGAAGGAGAGAAGAATCTGAAAACGTCAGTATTAATCAATACAGCAGCAGAAGATCAACAAATACCAGCCTGTAAGCCCAAAGAAGATGGAAGTAACACCAATATTATGACAAGCATCCCTTTGTGGAACTGAAACATCTTTTTTTCTTTGCCTTTTCACTCCCAGATCTCAGCCCTGCCTTTTGCCCTGAAGAAGTGCTGAGCCCTTCTCAGCCAAGGCAGACAATGTGGTGGTACAGCCCTGTCCCCAGAGCCGCTGTTAAGTATGGCTCATACAACGAGCATCCAGGATCTCAGGAGAGCTGTGTCCAAGCCTGGTGTCTTCCTCCTCACACTGGCGGGTGTTGCAGCCAGGAGTATGCCCAGGGCTTGGGCTAGCCAGCCCGCCGCTGTTCAGAGAATCATAGAATCATTTAGGTTGGAAAAGACCTTGAAGGCCATCAAGTTCAACCGTTAACCTAACACTGACACCGCTAAACCATGTCCCTAGGCGCCACATCTGCACATCATTCAAATACCTCCAGTGTTGGTGATTCCACCACTTCCCTGGGCAGCCTGGCCCAAAGCTTGACAACCCTTTTGGTGAAGAAGTATTGCCTAATACCCAATCTAGACCTCCCCTGGTACAACTTGAGGCCATTTCCTCTTATCCTGTCCCTTATTACTTGGGAAAAGAGACCAACGCCCACCCCGCCACAGCCTCCTCTGCTAAGGTGCACCCACCTCACAGGACCTGCTCTTCTGGTCTTGGCTGTCCCTGTGGCATGGCTGGGAGGACGCACGGACACATGCTTCTACCTCCTCTCCTTCACCCGAGAACGAGCCCAGGGGAGCAGGGGGAATGGTGAAATCTGAGCAGTCTTCTTCTGGCAAAGGGAGCTTTAGGATCAGGAGGGCGCCAGAAGGACAAAAGCACAGGTGATGGTTTTTATTGGAGTGAGTGGAAGATGGAACCAGATAGAACCGACTGTCAAGCCAGAGTGCCTGGTTATAGCTTTAGAGATTTTATTTTTAGGGATATTTATTGGACAAGACAGCTTTGCCTGCTATAGCCTCACACAGCTTGCTTTATTCTTGGACAGATCTAAGAGAAAGTGTTAATTGCTCATACGGCCAGATTTTTCAAACGGGTGGGGGAAGCACTATTTTGCAGGATTTTGGGCAGCAGATCCAATTTATAGTCTTTATTCACACACCATCTAAACAGATGAGACTGAATTTGTCCTAGAATTAATGTATACTTTCTGTAGGTGGTACCAATGTGCTTCTTCTGTGGCTTGCCTTTATTTTTTTTGGGTAACATATAAGTTTGCTTTTCACGTTGCTTTTGCTCAGTTGATGCAAACTAATTCTCCTTATGGCTGTGGATTTTGTGCTTCTTGTGACATGTTTTCCCTGCATTTACAAGATTTCAATTCCCTTTTCTGCCTGTGCGTTATGTACTTTCCAGCTGACAGAACCAAAGGGAATATTTAGGAACTTAGCTGAAAAATTAGAAGTGACTGACATAGGCACTTAAAAGAGGATATTTGATTGATTTAGGCAATCTACTTTTAAAAGGGAAAAATCCAGCTCTGTGCCCTGCTTGACCTGCCAGTTCTGTAGGTGCCTCTGGGGTTTCGTTCTGCGCTTGCCCTGGGACACCAGGCTCAGAGCAGGGGGGTTCCTGCACACAGGGGAGCCAGAAAGTTGCTTACATGGTCTAAAGCCCCTGTTAATAAAACAAAAGCCATTCTTCAAAGGACAACTCAGGCCTCGCCACTGCTGGGTGAAGGACTTGACTTACACCAGTAGGTGACCGTCTCCTGCTCCTTCCTGACTTCTCAGCCTCGAAACCCTTGCAATCCCGTCTATAAAGTTTCCCCCAAGGCTCACCCCACAGCGTGGTGGGGCGGCTGCTCTCCTGGGATGACCAAGATGTGCTTCCAATCTGCCTGGGCAGAGCTGTGAGGAGCAGAACCTTCACAAACACTCTCCCGGCTGGGTTAACACGGGCAAAGCATCATCCCCATGTTCCCAAAGGAACTGTGGCTGCACCACTTATGGGTTGAAAACTGCTCGAGGTGGATGGACACCAGCTTGTGCATCTTGCACGGGTACAGGCTTGTGACGAGCGTGGCGATTTGCACTGCAGCAAGGGCAGCACTTCCCACCCCCTGCAACAGCAGCAGTGGCAATGCCCAGAAACGCTGTAGCAGCTGCAGCCCCAGCTACCACAGCTTTACACAAATTTAACAGCTTTTCTCTGGATTGCATGCTCAGGGGACAGCTCTCAGAGCACGGAAATTGAAATCCTAGTTTTAGACTCTGCTACTCCCACAAATAAATAATGTTCTGCTCGCTTTTGCCTGCCATTGCAATAATAAAATACAATAAAAGAAAATACATATGTACCATGGGCGGCAGAGGGAGAACCCATTGGCATTGAAGGGAAGAATTTCTTCCATCCTCTCACCGTTTCCAAACACGTACCCAAATATGTGAAGCAGGAACAGCAAGTTCTTGCAACACAAACACGACAGCTACCTCTACCTTTGCTGGAGCCTCAAGACCTGGTGTTACATAAATACATTCAGGAAAGGAATTTCCCACCATGCCCCGCGTGTGCCCTGAAGTTGTTCCATCAAAAACTTCCCCACATGCTGCGGTGTAGATGTATTCAGACCCCTGGTCTACTGGAGAAGACGTGTATGGGCAGAAAAGGGGCTCTGATTACTGCAATGCATCCAAGAAATGGTGGGATATTGTAAAATAGGCAACAGCAGAAGACAATGCAAGACCAAACCAAAAACCATCACCCACCCACACAGTACCCCACCACAAACCAGTAATCTTGGGCACTAGAGCATGCCCTGAAGAACCATGTCTACACGTTTCTTAAATACCTCCAGGGATGGTGACTCCACCACCTCCCTGGGCAGCCCATTCCAATGCTGGATAACCCTTTCAGTAAAGAAATGTTTCCTAATATCCAACCTGAACTTCCCCTGGCGCAACTTGAAGCCGTTACCCCTTGTCCTGACATCTGTAACTTGGGAGAAGAGACCGACCCCCGTCTCTCTACACCCTCCTTTCAGGTACTTGTACAGAGCGATAAGGTCTCCCCTCAGTCTCCTCTTCCCCAGACTGAACAACCCCAGCTCCCTCAGCCTCTCCTCGTAAGACTTGTGCTCCAGACCCCTCACCAGCTTCGTTGCCCTTCTCTGGAAGGGTGCTCCAGCACCTCAATGTCCCCAAACTGGACACAGTACTCGAGGTGGGGTCTCACCAGTGCCGAGTACAGGGGGACGATAGCACAAAACTGCCCAGATTTGCCTGTAACCAACTTTCTCCTCTGGTCAGAGGAAAACTTTACCTTCTACATTTGTATGAGTGGATTTTGGAACTCCAAGACTGTGTGTTATCTCAGTGTTTTTGGCACTTACCTTGCAACTCCCTGCCAGGGGTGACAGACTGCTGGATTTTGACCACACATAAATTACTGAAGAGTTGCATTTCAGAGCAAATCATCCAGGTTTTTTTCTGGGCCTAATCATTTTTCTTCACGTTTATCAACTTGCTTTCTGATGATACTGAAGATAAAGCGACACTGTGACATATTTGCTCATGACCTTATGACATGTATGGGAGGATGACCCCACTATCCACAGATGAGCATTTTCATCACTTGGCCACCATCTACTTTGTCATTCACCAGGTGGTTAATGGAATTTGTCCTCATGTGTCATCTAGCACTATTTTCAGAGCGTAGCCACACACTAACATCAATGATTAACATCTCAAATGCTATCATTTCTACAGCAGTTCTAATCAAAAGGTAAAAAATCACTTCTCTAAGGACTACATATGTAGTCCATTATTTGACTTGATTGAAAAACAAGTAATTACAAAAATGAATGTGATAATTGTGTTTGAGATTGACCCAGCAGACACCCGTGAGAAGAGAGAATGCGGAGAATTCAGCTGTTAGCTGAGTTTCTAGCTTCATTATTTCTGTTTATCAAATCCCTCCACCCTCAGCCAAGACCCCAAGGTTTTTGCGTGTGCTAAGGTGTGATGTGCTGCTATGAACATGACCTAATCTTCTACTGGTTCTAATGGCAGAATAGAATGCCACGAACAACAGTAACAACAGATGAAACTTGAGATTTTTAATCTTTATTTTATTGATTGTTTTGCAAATACATAGAAGGACTTTGACATGTCGTTTGCAGAGCTTACAGTACAACTACATTTCTATATTTCTTTCTGCTTTTTCAGGGACAAAAGTCAATAAAATATAAAGTGAAATAAGTCCAATGTGATAATATAGTAGAATCTGCTTCTTCAGGACAAAGATTACCAACTGTCCCTGTCTTGTGAAGTGCTGTCAAGCAGGGGATGATCTCAGTGGTGCCCCAATAAAATTTCATGCACATCATCAACCACTAAAGAGGAACAAGAAGCTTCCACCCCTGCAACACCAATCATTGCACCTACTGCGCAGAGTATACCTCACCGATGAACCATGCTTGGCGTCCACAGAGAAGGAAACACTTAGGAGTGCTTTAATTCCTAATCCTACTTTACAAATCAAAAAATGGAATCACAGCTTGTTGCAATTAACTTGTGCGGATAAATGATGTTTTCATAACAATACCAATATTTTACCACAATATATTGTCCTCAAGATAAAAAAAAAATCAAGTGTGACATAAATATTTGCACCACTGTTGGATACGGAGAAAGCCTGTTCTCCTTTTCTTCCCCGGTTTTCAGCATCATATTGACTTTTGCTCTCTTGCATTAACAGACACGAATAAAAGAAGACACAGAACTCAGATATCCAGCATGCATAACAATCTTCAAGTACTATTCCATACTCTTGATCGAGTGTGATCCCCAAGCTGAAGAGAAAAAATGACCTGTTGTACAGACCTTAGCTGGTTATTCCCCACAACATCCCTGTGAGGTAGGAAGAACATCCCCTTTTCAGCAACAGGACAAGGCAGAGAGCACAGGTGGCATTTCCAAAGGCAGTAAGTGGAGAACTAGAAAAGTTGAAACTCAGGAGCTTTTGGCTCCTAATTCTTTGCTTCAGAAACCAAAGTGCTGAACTCCCAGACATTACCAGGTCATAAGTCTTTTTGTAGCCATACGTTAGTGACAACGATGGCTTCTGTGCGTGTGCCAGCAAAGTGTAGTTCTATGGCAGGAGCAGCAACACGTGGTGCTGCCCTCAGACACTTCTATGGTACTTTACATATGTCAATAAATGTTCACTGTAATTAGCTCATCAGTCCTACAACTAATGTAACATCGGTAATTGCAATAGATCAACATTTCATTCATAGATTTCTTTAAGACTTCTCCAGCTATTTAATCATGTATTTATTCTCTGGATAAGTTGGTAGTAACTCCCTTCCCCTGTATAATAGTTCTTATGCTCCTCCCTCTAAAACCAGAATGCATTCTGGGTACTCTGTACGAGAGCTTTGAGTGACGATAACAAGACGCCCTTAGGGATCGCAGCCATCCCCGCAGGGTAGCTCTTCACCCATCCTTGTCCCTGAAGGCATAGGTAGGCCCCTTTTGCTGTGTACAGCACCACACGGCTCAGAATGGTCACTGAAGTGTCTTTATGGGCTGGGGAAGAGGCCTCTGGGCTGCTCTGTCCAAAAGCAAAACTGTTTCACAATGAGCTAAAATAAAGTCAACTTTTGTTGTATAGAGACTTTAAACCTGCAAAACATCTGTGAGCAGAACTTCAGTCCACCTCCACAGCAATAGAAATGGCCAAAGTTTAAGAAAGTAACTTGTCTGGAATGAGAGAATAGCATAGGGAATACACCTAAATAAAGAAAACGGGTGAAAACTAAAGCTAGGTAAAAACTCACTTGTGCTAATCCTGGGTTAAGGTATTCTGGAACACTTTGATCAATGTAGTTTCAAGTCTTGCATCCAAATTAGATATCAACCAAATCACTTGTATATGTTTAATCATTAAATTAGAGCTAGTCTTTGTACAACGCTTTCCTTTCCCATGGGTTCAGCATCAGGTCTTGCCTATATGTTCAGACTATACAGCTGCCCACTGCCCATCAGCACGTGTGAGCTCATGTCACGCAACCTAGTATTACGGCAGTACTTCTGTACCAGCATAAAGGTGCTTACAAAGGCATTTTGTTTATTCCCATGTGGGAAGCAGGATAACCCATTCTGGTATTGACAAGAGACTATCAAAGAATTGTTTAGAGTCAGTGTAGCTAAACAAAATAATCTCTCTAAGCAAAACAGTTTTACTGCTATAAAACCCATGTGCGGATCAAGACAAATTGTATGACTGACCCATAAAAGAGACAGAAAAATGCAGTACAAAGGCAAGTACAGAAGCTCAATACTGCAGGATTTTCCTCTCTGGTTCCCTAGAAATGTGTTACATTTCTTCTGCAACACATACCGACTATGGTGAATACCTCATCTATCAAGTACTAGATATACCTTCTATACCATATCCCCACACTGCTTATCACATGCAAGACAGGCGCATATATATATATATTATATATCTTTATTTGTGCATCCACGTTTTACGTGTTTTTCAGTCACTTGGTCTCCTCTAGTCCTGATGTCAAACATTATGTCAGGAATTATTTTAACTGAAGACTTTTACGTGTTCCTATTTATATGAATGACAGAAACCATTATATTTGGAGAGAACACTGCATTTTAGTAAATGCAGATTTCCAGTCAATTTTTGTTGTGTATAACAAAGACACACTGTGCTGATATAGGATGTGAGATCCAATGCTGTCATATTATCTATTTGCAAAAATAGCAGTCATTTTGTAATTAATAACAGGGAAAGGAAGATCTTTATCAAATAGCAGAACCAGCATGAAAGAATGACTTTTCATTTTGATTGTCTTACATCTTCATTCTAGCTATCGTGAGTCCAACTCTTTAGTTTGGGTTCCAAGCTCTTTAGTTTTTGCCAATGCCTTGATCAGCAAGTGGTCTAAAGTTACTGCTTTTACCCTTAACGAAACATACTGCCTCCCAAGTGCCCACAACATTCTCTTCCCCCATTTCTCTACATCACACTGGAAGAACAGACCTCACTCAAGAAACAATCTGCATTTACCTTTGAATGAGGGCTGGGGGGAAGAATTATATCGGGGCAGTAAGAGTGGTTCACACGGGACCATTGTGCAGCTACCAGTTGCCCGCATGGGGAAGGAGACTTTTTAATATTCCTCCTTCATATTAGCTTCATTCTAGTTTGTATGATTTAAATAGAAGGGGTCAGAGTTGGACTTTGGGACGTGTAGGCTTCTTAATGCCAACAGACACACACCGTGGAAATAGAAGATACCTTCAGGGCTAAAACATCAGTTTTTTCTACCAGTATAAACAGTTTTGTCACAGACTCATTAAAAGGTTCAGGAAAAGGGAAGACCATATTTCTGATGTCTCTTCACAGCCGTCTATGTTTGCTATAGACCACTCCAGAAAAAAACCCCACACCTTTACAGCAGAATGGACATGGTAGGTGCTGTAGTTTCAGAGCAATAAAGTGACTTGTAAGTTTAATGACATCAGGAAAAGCAGAGGCAATCACAAGTTTTGCATGGTCATTTTGGCAGAAACTACAAGGCATTTTTTGACCATGTTTATTAACATTTTAGTACAACATTATTCAAAATTCAGGGAATAAATTCACCCTTCCATTAAAATTGGTAATGTTATGAAAGTAAAATACAATTTAGGCTGATAGTCACAGTCTGAGTTTAACTGCCTGGAAACTACTTACAAAGCCCTTAATAAAAAAAAAAAAAAAAAAGACATAAAAATCATCTTCCCAAGAGAAAATAATCTGTCAGCATCTGGAATTCTGATAAATGGTTTACCAAAACTTAGTAGCCCCAGCAGAGCCAAAAAGTCAGGATTCAGCAGCACTCCCTTAGCATTCCTTCTCCCCTCACCATAATAAAAAAAAAAAAAAAAAAGGACATAAAATTGCAAAACAGTCATGGATTTCTCTTCGCCGAGCTCCCATTTGGAAACAAGCCTTCTGGCAAGTTAAGCCCAGTCTGTATTTCACGTTTAAATCTGCCTCATTGGTATTAGTTTTGGCGAAACCTAGCAAGAAGGAGGGAAAAAACACAACAGTTGGCATACAGACATAGCAGTACAACCCACCGCTCAATTCCACCTCTGTCAACTACGTGCCACTGAAGACTAGAGACACTGTATTTATTTAAACTGATATATTTGCAGTATTTCAGACATAAACACACCCACAACTAAATTTTCTGATGCAGGAATATAAGATATGTGTGGCGCTAGTATCTAGCCTCTAAACTTCATTTATTTTGAGTTGGTTTATTTACTCAAGAATGCAAGCAGATTAAACTTGGACAGCCTGCTAACTCTACTTGCCCCTGCTAACTGCACAGTTTTCTCAGATGGCTTCCAACGCCAGCAGAAGGGACAGCTGAACTCTGGTGAAGCAGCTCCTCAATTATACAGCATCCAGGGTGGCATACAAAGGCAACTCACAAATAGGCCATGGCTTAGTTAATGCACTGGCTGATAAATGGTCATAGTTTGGGTACAGTGGGGCTGTGCTTGCCATGAACAGCCATGGGAGAGACAGCTGCAGATGGGCAACAGCTTCAGCCACCACCTTCTAATCCACTTGCATTTACACATCAATAAACTGAACGATGTAGAGGCAACAAAACAGATTATATTCAACATAGGATTGATTCGCCTCTGCAATATTAGCGTGCCAAGGAATCTTAAACTGCTGATTCTCCTTCTTTGATCAACAGCCAAGATCATTCTGCTTTTCCTCCCCACCCACCAGGAGATAGGATGCTCTTTGTCAATGCTGGGTCTGGACAGAAGTAGTCGGTGTGTTTTGGAACATTGATATTAGCAGGGAATATACAATCAAATGTTTACATATTATACACATACTGTACCTACAGTTTATGTATACATTTCATTTGATTATTTGTTTGATGATTATATAATTCAATACTTTGTATTAATTACTTATAATTTTACTTATTTTTTTTTAAATTTGCCTTCTTCCATTCACATTCAGGTGACTTGTTTAATGATGATATAGTTTAATATTTCTAATTTTATCTTTTATTTTTAAACTTGCTTTTTTCCATTCACATTCATTTTTATGTGAGGACATGGTTCTTGTTTTAATTCCTTATACTCATAAAAATCAATTAGTGGTATTATAAGATATCCAGCAGACCAAAAATAAAGCACAGTAAGCCTAAATAGGAAAGCACATGAGGAAAGAAGGTGCAAATAGGAACAATACAGAGAAGACTTTGAAGAGTAGCAATGGTTAACATTTGATTGAACCCTGACTGCAGGTTTACACAACTATTCTGAGGAAAAGCTCTCCACAGAAGATTCAAGCCTCGTTAAGTATCTCCTGTTCCCAGGAATATGCTATTTAAATAGGTGCCTCAGGATGACGATCAAAAATAACTCATGAGATCTTACTTGTTCAGGATGAAAAACAGTTCCACAGATAGTCTGGCTCCTGGTTGATTAATCTGTCCCACTGAATCCTGTACTGCATTCCCTCTGCCTCCTTATCCCATCTTTTTCACTTAACAGTGCTGAACAAGCTAACTCATAAAAGAATGATATATAAGGGCCTTTCCTAGCATTAAAGCCTTTTTCTTTTAGAGGTACAGGGCTGCACTTCCTGTACCAGTTAGAGTTCTACATTATCCTTCCTCTAGCCACTGTATATCATCATTTATAAACCTTATGAGAATAGCCACCAAGGAAAGCTTACTTCATGAAGAATGCGTTTACTGCATCAAATGTTAATGAAATGTTTTCAGTGGATGGAAACTGTTCATTGATTTTTCAAAGTTGTGTGTGAACTAGGATAATAAATAGATGTAATAGGTACAAGTGTAGAGGAGCTGGAGAAACTCCCTGAGTGCACCAGCATTTCTGGACAAGTTGCAGAAATGTTTCAACGCTTCTGAAGTGCCAATGTGCCTCGCTTAATTTGGGCCTATTTCTGCCTCACCCAGGGATGGTTCCATTGAGGCAAAGGCAAAAACTGGAGGATGAAGATAGCACCACTAAAAATCTGTATTCTGAAAAAAAAAAAAAAAAAAAAGACAGGAAGCAATTACTGGAGGAGATTACTGTTTTTCTGCCGCCGTAAATTTTGGTGCCATCAAAACGTCAAGTGTTTCACATCTGAATGAGCATATCATGTTAAATGAAATGCCTGCACATCTGATGCCAGCAGCTGTCACTTGCTGCTGGGTCTGGTCCCCCTGGGCAACAGGGGTGGTGAGAGCACAGCACCGCTCAGAACGGGACCCAAATAGTGCTGCTTGCTCCAAATAAAATGCGATTAACTAAGCAGAAAAATGCTAACGTAGCAAAAGGGATGGTTTGTGCTTGGAAAAGTAGGAGTAATCAAGTTTGAAATGCAGAAAGCCCCCCGTGTCCATTGCTTTAAATCCCAGAAGAGTCAGCCAATTTGGTAACACAGCACAACATTTGGTAAGAGCTGGATGTGCTTAATGAAGACTGTATTACAGAACAGTTCTCAAAAAAAAAAAAAAAAAAAAAAAGACCATTAGTGTTAGCATATTTGTTAAAATAATAAAAGTTGATTATCCCTTATTAACTCCTAATCATTTGAAATTGCAGCTAAAAGCAAAGCACAACATCAACATCAGCTTTTGTACAAAAATCTGTTCCTAATGTGACTTTTGCAGTGGGGGTGATTGATCAGGAAAAAAAACACAACACCCATCTAAAAATGGACTCAATCCTGCAACAGCCTTTTTCCACAAAGGAAGATGTACTTCCAGAAAATAAAACCATATCCTCTATTATTTTTTACTCACTGGCCTGAACCTGGACAGTCAATTTCTTTTTAAACACTAGTCAATTGCTATTAAACTACCCAATGTTTCCTTGGCAGACACTTTTCCTAAAAGGTAACATGGAGTTTAAGATCATTTTGTAAAACTGAACTTTTACGTTAAGACCAAAAAAAAAGGGGGGGAAGGGGGCAGTTTTTACAACACAGTTATCCTGATTAACTTTATAATGAAATACATCTGCAAAAGTATGGTTCTCAATCCGTTCTTTCATGGTCTCATCAAAGGTATAAGCCAGTACAAGCCCAAACAGATTACCTGCCAGGGTGATCGATACGCTAGGCTACAGCAAATCTGATTTAAGCATACAAGATAAGCCAACACCTTGTCTTCACAGCACAGTAAAATTGAAGGCAAATTGTTTATTTTTTATATAATGCCAGTCTATAATGAAGATCGTTGACTCTAAATCATGTTTTCTTTGACATTTTGTTGTCACAAATGTCCTTTAGAAGATGTTTTTCCAGATATGCAAGCAGGCTGTGGTGAAAATGAGACTGTATAGCCAAATGTGTCTCCAAGAAAGCTGTTTAGACTATCAAGTTCTCCCCTCCAAAAAGGAGTAATCTCCATGGGGACAGACAGTTATATATAAAGGTACAGCCACCCCTTAAAACCTCACTTGTAATGAACCTAGAGAGATGTTTGTTTTAGTTCAGATCATTCCCTGCATCCACTGAAAGAAGCTGCTAGGAAAGGGGTCAACTCCTCATTTTCCATGCATTAGTTCTGCTTCAAACTAGCAAAACATATGATCCAAAAAACCTGCTTTCTACTGTAGCAATACAATATCACTAAAGTTCCTGTCATCAATATGAACAAGAACAAGATGTCTCATTCAGTGAACATAAATAATAACAAGCACAACTGCTATTCTTGCAAGGAAGCCTGAGGCAGAGTCTTGAAATGTAGAAAAAGGGACTAAGGATGTTGCTCTCTGAACAAATGCCTACCACAATGCTCAAATCTCTGTTTTCTGAACTCCAAAGCTAAGGAGCTGTAGGTGTTTGCTATATATGAGTATCAGGCCATCAAGGGTCCAGTGTTACATAACAGTGATCACAGATCACTGCCGTCACAGATGTCAACAGCAGTTTGGGTAAGGATTTCAGTGAGAGGAGGACTGTGTCATTGTGGCCTTGGAACATTCTTTACAGGAGGCAAAAAAAAAAAAAAATTAAAAAGAAAGAAAGGAATAGCCTCTTCCGTGCCACAGCTTTACAAACAAATCACTGTGGTTCATGTTTTCCATCTGCAGTGCTACAGAGATTTCAGGCACCTTTGGAACAACCAATCAGCCAGTAACGCTGACCCCAGCCCATACCTTGGTGGAGGTACGTGCTTTGCAAGCACTTATGCAAGCCACGTGCTTTCAAGGTAAGTACATGAAAGTGCATAAATCAAGCAGCATCTACATTTTTCATGCCCACATCTCCTTTAGTGCAGCTGATGATTCCGTGCATGACCACAGCAGCCACACGGAGCAGATCGTGCCGGAGGTTGCCTTTAGGAGAACTCGGAAGCGGTGCCTGTGAAGTGTCCCTGCCTGATCCCAGCGAGACAGATCCCATGGACCCAGGAGGTGTGGGTTGTTGCAATACCTCTCATTAGTTGCTAACTTCAGGCTACTTTAATGATTCAAAATTTATAGAACTCATTTGTAAAATCTACAGGGAAGCACTGAGGGACAGTGGGTGGTGCTGACCTTTTCTTTGGTCCTAATAGTCTTGCTCCACCATACCCACCATGCTGCTGCAAAGCTTAATCTCATTTGAGGCTTAATCATTTGAGGCTTATCTCTCCTTTTTCTGAATTCTTTGGTTGCTTCTGCTTTCATTGCCTTGAGCCTAGGCTGTTGGACTTTACCTTCGGTAACACTCTCTCAATTAAATATGTATCTATTGGTCACCAGAACCAAAAAGAAACCAACTCCTTCCAAACAAGCAGGTTTGGAACACATAAGGACTGGAGTCCTCTGACAACAAAAGTCTTTTCCTGTAGTTTCAGTCTAAATGCCTACTAAACACGGCAACTTCAAATTCATCATGAAGTTAATCCCAAATTAAAGAACAGAACACAGTGACTGACTGCAAAAGATATGAACTTACAAGGTCAATTTTATCTTTTAATTTTGGATGCTAGCTGTTTGGCAGGCTGATCAGCCAAAGAAAAAGAAGTCCCAACATTACTGAAGTTTTAAAAAATTGATCATTTTTTCCTAAATCAGAGTCAGAGGATGAATAAATAATTTCTTTTGCACACAGAATAGCTGAATATGGAAGGTTGTTTCCACTGTAAATTAAAAAATAATAATGACTTCCATAAAATGTTACATGGAAAATTAATAATGGAGCAAAGTGATTTTGTAGAAGTTTCCTGCACTTTGCAGTTGCAAGTCGCTCATCTTTAACCGAACAATTTTTCTCAGAAAAACGGCTGTTTTCAGAAGTGAACAGGTCTCTATTTAAAATATTTAAAACTCCACAAGAAAAACATATACTATCATATTTAGTTATCAGAAATGCTCTCTTATGGACATAGGAAATGAATGAAATTCCACAGGCTGATTCCTGCCAACAGAATGTTCAAAGTCTTAATTACAAACTCTTTCACATACTAACTGCTCTGACATCTTTCAGTAATGTGCCCTAGTCTGCCATGAAAATCTGCAAAAAGGAAGAGCGTTGCCCTTCATTACCAAATATTCCCCAACTATTTTTACAGCACAATTCGTACACTGTCATACTTGCTGTTCTCACTGAAGCAGGGCTGACCTGCCCCAAAAGACTTCACAACACAGAAGAAAAAATTTCATAATGTGCACGTAGGAGAAGGCCATGAAGAAACTGTATGTTACCAACCCCACATATGCAGTCAGTTACAATCTGGTGCAATGCAGTTCTCTATTAATAAGCCAGTTTTGTGTTAGCATTAAGTAAGACTTAAGAACGAATGTGAAGATCAAAAGACAGTGGATTTCTGCATTAATGCTGAGCCTAAGTTTCGTTTGTGCAAGGCAATGAGAGAGAATAGGCAAAGACATCAACAGTAAGCATTTAATTGATTGGCACTAATAACACAGAGTAGACACATGTAGTCACCCTTGTTGAGAAGATTCACAACCCCACCTAAACATAGCATGAAAACTTAGCAACAGAGAGTTAGGTAAATTAACTTATATAGTGGAAAAATAAATACTCACCTACCTCTGAGATATGAATCAGATCCCCTCTTGACATCATAAAAGTTTCCTATCCACATTGTCCCTTCAGTCATTTCTCCATCTCCTCTCTATTTCCTAGCTTCTAATGCTTCCAATATAATCATACAAGGTTAGCCCTAAATTATCTTCTCATTTTCATTGTAAACTCCACAGACAATCTAACTCAGCCCTCACCTATGAGGAGAAGACAAAACTTACTACATCTACAAGTCTTCATGTGATATTTGTGGAGAATATTTGTTCTGACACCAAACTAACTATATTTGGTCGTAAAATGACTTACCGTGAAGTCACAGCCAGTGCTTTTCTTGATATCATCCACTGTCAGTCCTTCCCAGATTTCCACAAGGGTCAATCCCTTCTTCTTGTCCACATCAAAAACAGCCTGTCAGATTCAAATAGCACACAATTACTTTTTATTACCAAAACAGAAAATGTAAGCAGAGGATGTAAGTAGTGATATTGTAACAAAATGGTGTGCTGAAGTAGGTAGCGTTGCCTCAGTAACGAAAGATGCCATTATCCATTGATTTCACTTGTCACTTTTCTGACTGACCAACAGAGATTTCTGCTACATTCATCTATACCTGAAAGAACGTAAAATATGACAGGTGTTAGTTTTGGGGGAAAACGTACAACTCTTTTTCATTGCATGAAATGAGGACCGTGTCTGCTGCTCCAATCTGGTGAGAACTGGAAATCTGGAGCAAAGGGCTGAGACGCTCTTTGCTGCAAGACAATCCAAAGTAGAGCAGTACAGAGTTGTTGATCACCTTCATCAGATTATAAGCTTCTCCAACAGCTATTGCACACCCAGTTCAAATTTTAGCATTTTCAGAAGCTAGCAATGAAAGGCAAGATTTCTTGTTGTATTTTTAATAGAAAGCCTGGGAGGAAGTGGCTGAAGGAGCAAAAGCTCTTCTTTCTGACATCCTCATAAAATATGCTTTCCACTTCCAAGGCTCACAATCACATCAAATATAAACACCTGTAAAACAATGTGCACTTTTTACGGTGCGTACCAGAGGGAGACACACAGGTTGCAAGCTAGTTGCCAGGGAAACCATAAGGTCTATAGTAATTTTCTTTGGAAAAAAAAAAAAAGAAAAAAAGTAGTAAGTCAGTAGCAAAAGACCAGTGAAGATTGAACTTGAAATGGAAGTGAAGTCTTAAGCTCATCACAAAAGTGTACTAGAGTTCAGCTGTCCTCTGGGTAGATGAGTGATTTATGGGACTGAAAATGACAGCTCTTGTAAATCTTAAAAGAGAAGCTGGCCATAAGGAATATACACACTAGGAAGCTAGTATGGAAACAATTTGCAATGCTGTCTAAGTACTGTTGTGCATTGGTGTCATCTCCTAATAAAGCACCCAGATCTGAAAAGTGGTGACTCAGAGAAATTTCTGCTTGTTGTTTATTTTCCATCAGTCCTTGTTCACTCTCAATTTTTTGTACCTTACATTTGTATGTGGCCAGTTAGTAGAAGACTGGAAAAACTTCCACATTTTCATTTATTTTCTCTTACTTTCTGGAGAAAAAATCCTTTAATTTACAATAGCAATATACCACCAGGAGAAAGCAAATTCTACATCAGCACCTTTGATGCATTCTACTCAGTATGACAGATGGCTCACAGAGGGACTACTCTAAGCCCTTAAAAATGTAAACACTGATAATAAAAGGAGTATGATTACAGTAAAAACCTTAAGTCACTTATCCTTTGCTGAAAACATCCACTAATGTACTTTGAGCAGCAGCAATATGAGATGCTCACATGTACTTGCACTGGAGGGTAAATTGCTTCACAAACAGCATGGAGGTAGGAACAGGCGCACCCTCAGCAAGTTTGCTGATGACACCAAGCTCGGTGGTGCAGTTGACACGCTGGAGGGAAGGGATGCCATCCAGAGGGACCTGGAGAGGCTGGAGAGGTGGGCTCGTGCAAATTGCATGAAGTTCAACCAAGCCAAGTGCAAGGTCCTGCACCTGGGACGTGGCAAACCCCAGGCACAAATACAGGTTGGGCGGAGAATGGCTGGAGAGCAGCCCTGAGGAGAAGGACTTGGGGGTGTTGGTAGATGAGAAGCTCAACATGAGCCGGCAGTGCGTGCTGGCAGCCCAGAGAGCCAACCGTGTCCTGGGCTGCATCAAGAGAAGCGTGGCCAGCAGGTCCCGGCAGGTGATTCTGCCTCTCTACTCTGCACTCGTGAGACCCCACCTGGAGTACTGTGTCCAGCTTTGGAGTCCTCAACACAAAAATGACATGGATCTGCTGGAACGGGTCCAGCGGAGGGCCACGAGGATGATCAGAGGGATGGAGCACCTCTCCTATGAAGACAGGCTGAGAGAGCTGGGATTGTTCAGCCTGGAGAAGAGAAGGCTCCAGGGAGACCTTATAGTGGCCTTTCAATATCTGAAGGGAGCCTACAGGAGAGCTGGAGAGGGACTCTTTGTCTGGAAGTGTAGTGATAGGACAAGGGGTAATGGTTTTAAACTGGGAGATTTAGATTAGATATTAGAAAGAAATTCTTTACAGTGTGGGTGGTGAGGCACTGGAACAGGTTGCCCAGGGAGGTTGTGGATGCCCCATCACTGGCCAGGCTGGATGGGGCTTTGAGCAACCTGGTCTAGTGGGAGGTGTCCCTGCCCATGGCAGGGGGGTTGGAACTAGATGATCTTTAAGGTCCCTTCCAACCCAAAGCATTGTATGATTCTATGATTCTATGAAATGGAATCAAGTAAGGACAAAAGAAAAGCCCTGATACTGCCACATGTCGTGTCTCTCTGAAAGAGTCTCTAGCATGCACCAAGGAAGATGCCAACTGTTCGACACATACGTGCTACGCAGGTGTTCCTCTGCTGGGAAAAAAACGAGCTGTGATTACAGGATTTTCAGGAATACTTTGGGAAAAATAAGGAGATAGACACTTTGCATACTCCTCAAGCACAGCATCTTTGTTCCTAAGGTGCCTAAACGTACAATCCAGTATGCTAGATGTCAATGGTGAAAGCTTTAAAGGGAAAAAAGAGCCCCCAGACCTCTGGAATTGAACCCCAGGGTAATCTTTGCCTTTCACTGGCAACAGATACTGAATACATTTTTCATTTTTACTAAGCTTTACTACTTTACTGAGTGTTCCTGCTTAGGAATAGAGGAGGAAAGCATTGACAAGGATTCAAGAAAAGTACTTTACCTTCTCTGTAATGATGCGGTTTACACATTGTTTCCCAGTAAGTGGTAGATTGCACTTTTCCAAGATTTTATGGACGTTGCCCTGTGTTTAACAATAAACAGACAAACATTAATTTTCAAAAACAATGAAGCTTACTCAGAATTCAAATACGTACATGAAAATCACAGCGGTAGCCTGTTCAGTGCTACTGATACATTCACTGTACTCAGAACACTCTTCGAATTCACTTCTGTTGCGGATTACGTCTTCGGTAATTTGGGACAGTTATTACTTAAATCCCACATATAGGGAGATGAGTGGAAAGAACCTCACTGTACTACTGAGTGGGCTCCTGAGGTTAGAAGTCTGCTTAATAATTTGCCTTTCCAGATGCAGTGTGAGGATAAGAGTTTTCATGGGACCTCACTGATGACATGTAAAGGACAAAAACTAGGGAAAGACATTGCAGGTACAACATTTCTGTGTCTTACACTTTATAACAAACTGTATGTGCAGGATCAGCCATACAGACTGGCATTTCAAATCCCCAGGGCTCTGGATATATGCTCTGAAAATAATAAATCCAGCTTTTTTAACCACATTGAATTCCCATTCCTTCCATCTCTCCAGGAAAGCCCCAAAACAGACTAAAAGATGAGTGCAATATGATCATCTTCAAGCACTACACAGGAGTTACATTACTTCTGTTTTAGAACAGATCAGCATGCCAATATAGAAAAGAATGTATACATAGAAAACAGAATTTACTTTAAGGCACTTCCTTTTCTGGAGCTACTCTACCTCTTCTGCCAGCTACTCTAAATCCTTGGAAAAGTATTACCTAATGTGAAGCCATAGCTTCTGACATGAAGCTGGGCAGGTAAGGTTTGGGTAGTGTGTCCTTTTTATTTTTCCCCTCTTCTTTTTTCTTTCTTTTTTTTTCTTTCTTTTTTTTTAATAGGAGTTCACAAATGGCTTTAGATCCTGCTAAATGAATGTAGGGTGCAAGAGCTCTAAATGGACAAAAGAGATAGATTGCTACATTTTTAGTCAGTATTTGTAGGCGTTTTACAGAGGTAGCATTAAGTGCACATTTCTCCCATTATTACATGCTTTTATTTTTTGTTTAATTATCAATTTTCAGTTACACATTTCAAAACTCTCAGAGTATTAATGTCTCATTTAACCATCTAAATGCAGTACCTTTTAAATTTACAATCATCAGTTTGTCTTAAGGCTTAATATGAACTCAGGAACCACTTCTCAGACAGTTTGACTCCTGAGCGATAACAAAATGAGCAATCCATGTGCTTTTGAATTTATCTTTTTCTGTGAAGAACTATTTCTTCGTTAGAATTCTAATTATACCAGCAAAATTGACATTTGGTATCAAGGCAACTACTCTGATGAAACTCACTCACTCTTAATGAAAATAATGACTTGCAACAGTGTTATTTGCAATTGATCTACTTGTATCTTGTCCATCTCAAGGACCTTCCTGTGCACTTTGCCTAACAGCCAAGATTAATGTGTGCTATTAGTAATATCTTCAGTAGCATATCAGGTATACTTCTCAGTCATATGAAGTGTCTCTTCTTGGTACCCAACTGAGATTGAAACACATGGACTTGCAGAGATGACAGCTTGAATGGCTCCTGTGACCCTGAGAACTGATGCATTCCAGCCTCTTAACACTTTAGCTGAAGATTATTGTGTTACCGGTTAGCATTAAAGGCAACTTTCTGAAGACATCCATCAGGGCACTATCAGAATAGGAATCCAAATGGAACTTCATAAATTTTTACCCTCTGAATCTACATGGGATTTATTCAGATGAAGGACAAGACTGTTGTGTAGATACATAAAACTTTAAGGTGTTTCAGTCTGCTTTAAGTAAAAAACTCTGTCGTTGAAGAACAAAAATGTCTTTAATCTTCCACAACACATTAAAACCAAACTATTCGCTATGATGGAAATGAGTTTTCAATTCTGTGTTCCATGTTTCAATCACATCCAGAGAAAGTACTTAAATCTAGTCTCCATTCTGCTTTTCTGAATGGTGTAGCAACTCATTTCGTAACATGGAACAATTACCAGCCAATAATGTCAACGATGGTATGGGGATAAAAACTTGAAGTTTATTTCTCTCAGACAGTATTTAGCAGACTAGGCGCCGGTGCACAGTGACTGTTTAGAGATTAAACAACAACCTTACATTCTATTATTTTTCTTCATGGTTATAAACAAAAAAGTAGCTTAGCGAAAAATACATTAAGAAATATTACAAAGAAGGACACTTAAGGGCCATTTGCGAAGTGTCTCGTAGTGGGGCCTAAGCCCATGGAGCAAAAATCGAGGCCCCCCTTTCACAGAGATGCTTTCCTGGCATGCTTCAATGTATAGACATCCCGAGCTACAGACTGCTTCTGGGCAATGCTTTTAATTGCCACTGATGACCTTAACCTCAGCCCCCTTCATACAGACTTAATTCTCTGAGCTCCTGCATCATCCTGCTGATCAGCTGTTCATTAGCTGGCTGTGAAAAATGTTTCTTGTTATTTTAAACATGCTGGTTCCTAATTTCAGTTGGCTACCCCTACTCCTTTTATAAGGTGCCATTCTGCATCCATCTTCTCCATGCTTATTATATTGAGTATTTCTATGTTACCTTTCCCAATAGTTTCTTAAGCTGAAGAGTCTTCTACAAAACCCGTTTCATCTTCTGTCATCTTTCTTCTGTACCTTTTAGTTTTCATTACATGTAAAAATTTAAGTAATTAAAAATTGAAATAATTTGAGGCACAGTGTATTTAGTTTTCTTTGTAATATACTGCATATCAGAATTTAAACAGAGGAAAATTATTTGAGTATTTTTTGAGTGTTAAGACAGATACTAGTTTCACCCTGATAATTACATGTAAATTATATTTTGCCTGCACTGCAAGGACTCAGCCTATTGTTATATTTAAAAACTGCATCATGTGTACTGACCATTAGTACTACACAAAAACACTTGAAAAGGATTAAAAGATCCTTCACAAGATCACGAATCAGACAAAACTGACTGCAAGAACTACCTATAGCAACTTTTGAACAAGTCCATTGAAAGTGCTGTGTGTATCCCATAGCCTTCCACTGTATTTCCATCCATCAAATCTTGACTGCTGTTGCTTTGGCAACTAATGATAGGTTTCTTATTATTTATTTGGAAAATAAGGTGACAAAAATGTCCCTATATTAAAAACCCAGCAGTGACAGCAGACTGCCACAGTACACGCAGATATTTCTTTCACTCAGTAACATACTGGGCAGGATGAAAGATTGCTCCTCTGATGCAGAGATGCAGATGGAATAAGTTTGTGAGAAAATCTTTGGTGTAAAGAATTAAAGAGCCGTGAATATAAAGTCAGTGCTGTAAGAAGCAGTCACACCAAAAAAAAGCTTCTGACTTTGAGAAGTGGTCTTAGAGGTGCTACATTTGTTTTGCATATTAAAAAAAGAAAAAAAAAGAAAAAAAAAAAAAAGAGAAGCACCTGAAAACCGTAACAGAAGCTTTTAATTTCCAATCATTAGATTTCCATATTTCATCATCTTTACTTTCATACAAACACAAAGAAGCAGTATGAAAACCTCAGAAAGAGGCTAGGTAAGAGGAACAAACATAGTATAGTTTTGCAGTGCCTTCACACAAAAGCAGAAGAAATATTTATGCAAGCCTGTAACTGGCTCTTTTAGAAGTGCACACCAGGCATCCCATGTACGTAAGAGCCCAAGTTACGTGTACATGCCAAAATAAGTAAGTCTATGCCTGGACTGTTTGTAACAGTGAACCCATTTGTGTTTCCACTTTTTCAGGTTGCAGAATTCCTAACATTTGGTATAGTTCCTTGAAAACAGAAATTTTTGTCCTCCAGTACATTTTTCTCATCGTTTGGACAGTCCCAGTTTCCTATGACATTCTGTGGGAGATGACTGTTTATATCTACAAAACCTACCCCACAAAGAAGTGCCGTAAATTAATCTCTAGATTAACTTCTATCACATAATGATGTGAGGCAGCCTGCATCTCATCATGCCAAAAAGATCTATTCTATTAAGCTGTCACTACCAATTTGACTGGCAACTTCAAAGGTAAATATCTTTCCATCATAACAAGTATTTAACCATGGGGAACCTCAGTTTTCAAATTATTCTGAGGCAAAGAGTAAAACCTCTGGGGTAGCATCTACTGTAGCTCTGGCAATTGCCACTCACTAAATTTGCATGCAGTAACTAAAAACTGTGTGCATCTTTTAAACATCAAGTTAATACTTCATTTTTTTCCATGATGAATGATTCACGTACAAGAGGAAAGGAACCTTACTAACCTAGCCCTGTTGCACCTCCATAGCTAACAGCAAAACTGTCAAATCCTCATGAATTAGAAGAATGAATGTAAGATGTCTTTTTTTTGTTGGTTTTTTTTTCCCTTCTTCCTTTTTTGGTACAGCACAAAACACTTATTTAGAAAGAAGAAGCAAAGCATTACCTTGGCTGAGTGCTCCATGGTGACAACCACTTTGGTCTGCGCGCTGGATACCAGGTCCATGGCACCCCCCATTCCTTTCACCATCTTGCCCTAAAATTAAATTTTTAATGGAAATGTCACATTTTTACAATGTAAATCCTGCAGAGAAAGCCTATTTCACCACCACTGTATTCAAACACTAGTAGAGCTTCACCAGAGAGACAACAGCTGCCTCATTCTAGGTTCTATATGATGCAAATAGGAAACGAATGATGAGTAGAATAAGGATCTACTGCCATGGCTGGTGCCCTGGGGTGTAACTGAAATCTGAGTAATGCCATTGGCTTAATGGAAGCCCTGATACTGAGGAGCAATGAATTTAGTTCCAATGGTTCTGACATTAGAAAAGCAAAGTGTTCATTCTCCTGTTGATAGAAATGTCATTAAATCCTCAAAACAAATCTTTGCTTATGAAATGTAGCAACAAGAACATCTGAGCACTCTCCACCTGCCAGTTTAGAAACCCATGGCTCCTATCACTGTATCAGCACAAACCGACCTTTTTGTTCTATTCCAGATGTTTGTGGATGACATTTCAGAATACCGGCAAATAAATAAATGTGGATTAGTGTTTGCTTCTGTTTGTCCCTCAAACCAAGCAATGCTTTCTGCCTCTGCCTCATTCAAGAGTGTCAGAATTGCACCTGTATTACAGCTTGGTGTTTAGATGCCTCTATTTTTACTTTCTACAATGTTACAGCATTCAATCCCTGCCTGCTTCCACCACTGTAAACACAAAACATCTGATCTTGGAAGGTAAGAGGTCCAGACTGGGCAAACTTCTGACAGGAAATGACCATAAGTACAAAGCTCTATCAGTATGAGCAGCGTAGTCATTTTTGGACAACAAGCACTAAACCCCAGAAACTAAACAAGGCAACAACCTCATATGCCACTCAAGAGCTGCTGAGGAGGGCAGAAAGGGGAGTGGAACCACAAGGCACCTGCATGATAGGGGAGGTTAGTAGGAAACACGAGGCAAAGACTTTTACAGGTTAAAATAAATTAATTTCTGTCACAAGTGTTTTGTATTTGCTCTCTTTTGACTGGCTATTAGCTGTAATTACAATAAATTATGGAAAATAATACAACAGATGCTGTTTTATATGTAAAACCTAAAAGCACATGGCTAAATGACCAGAAAACTTCCCAGCATAAAGCTTTTCTCTTATCCTTTTCATTAGCTATGTGATTCAGTACCTTACTAGCATCAGTACTTATGGTCCATGACCTAAAACATATGGAAAATTCTTGTTTCATTAAGCTGCCAGCCCAGCAACTTACTGGTCTCTTGATCATTATGGCCTCTTGATCATAATGAATGGAATATACAACCCCCTCCCCCTCAAAAAAAAATCGTATTTTGTAACTGTTCGCACAGTGACAAATAAATCACATCTTTCCATATCTATAAACAACCCCTTTGGATTTCTCAGGTCAGATTAATATTTAATATTAATGATGTTAACTGACATTACTACTTGCAAATGTAAACCTGAAAGTGATCAGAGGATTCACCTCTGTCCTTAACTTTCTGGTACTGCCCAGACCATTCTCCATCCTACCTGGAAACACAGAGCTCCTACAGAGACTGCAGTGAGCTCTCACCTGCCTGCTGAAGGCTCACTGACAAGGTAACACAGAGTAGCTGAAGATGATGGATAATCACCCCAATAACTCAGAAGATGTTTGCATTGAGGACTTAGCTATCGATATACCTGTCCTGACCATGCTGTTAGTTCATTTTCCAGCCTTTTAGTTCTACTAACTAGTAAAGACCTACAACAACTAGGAAATATCTGAAGAAGTAAGTGCCAATGAAGGACAACACAAATCTACTGCTGGAGAAGTTGTCATACGGGACTGAGAGAAGAGACTTCATCCCTTTGTGTGGTACGCAGAGGCAGGAAAATTCAAGTTAAGTTGAAAAGGACTTAAGGGCCTTTAAACTGCTACGTTTGCTCCTCCTCTTTAGGTAAACATTCCTGAAAGGTGCCTCGTAAAGAAAATCAATTAAGCGTTAACTAGCCAAGTAATTACATGCTTTTGTTTTGAGGAATATCCAAAGCCTAGGAGCCTTACATTGCTCTCAGTGCATCTACAAAACTCCCACAACTTGCACTTTCCCCCACACTGTACCAGCATAGGGGACAGATGCATCCTAAATTTGAATTAAAATGCTTGAGTCTAAAAAGTGATTCCCAAAAGACTTTTTGTTCCTTTTTGCCTGGGATAAGCACACAGAACAAAACAGTTTTGAGATTTATAAACAGTGCACATTTATAAGCAACAAGCCATTTCTGTTTCTTTTAAATTTTAATAGCATATTTAATTGCATCTGACATTTCAGAGTGTTTTATTTGAATACTTTGCATGTAAACTGCAGTCTGTCTATTATAAACATTTGCACCTCCTGAAGACCATTTGCAACAGCCACCTCTGCTGTGGAAAAAAACTGAATTGAGTTTACAGTGCTGGAGACCAGCTGAAGCGGGAACTATACCTTTCACTTCAATAAAATGCTAGTTTTTATTTATTTTTGAATGAACTGGGCAAACTACAGAAAGTAAAACTGTTCACTCTTGGTTACTTGATAAGGCATTTATGTGTAATGTAATAACCTGTACAAAGCTCAACTGTTTTAAACAATTCATTAAAAGAACCTGAATGCCTCACCCCGTCCCGTCCCCCCCACCATTTATATATTTAAGATTATTTTCGTTAGTTCCCAATTACACTGCTGCTGCTAGCTTAAGAAACCAGAACGAAAGATTTAGTTCAGTGGCAGAACACTGGTAATTTGAGGCACTTTTATAGCGCCCACTTCATCAGCAAGAGCTTGAAGCAAGAAGAAAAGCTTTTTGAGATAGCCATGTGCTTCCTGGGAGGTCCAATGTTGGTAATATTTATACAGAGGGCTAGGCAGATGACAGAAAAAAGCCAATAGTTTCCTTGTAGCTTCGCAATTTCCATAAAAGGTCCATATTGCAGAGAGGAATTCTGCTTTTCCTGTTCTGCTTCATCAGCAGTCCTCGCTAAGTCTCAGTCCAAATAATCTCGGGATGCAAGAGGTGGACATTCACAGACCTGATGAATTTTATTTTATTTTATTTTTTAATTAGGATATTCAGCTCTTCTGCTTCTTCACAGCCATAAACACCCACAAAAATTATGAAATTTCATATAATGCCTAACAAAAAGAATGATTTTGTTATTGTGGTGATGGGGCATCTTTAAGATGAAAGAAGGGTACAGAGTTTCTCATTTGATATATTCATATTGGAACACCATTTGAGTAACATTATAGAGCCTGAGAACATAATTTAGCCTAGTAGTAATTCCAAAACAGAAACATCTCTGTTGTTTTGGTCACTTGGTGGCATTCCAGCAGAAGCTTGTGAGCAAAGGTGTGCAAGACAGTCAAGGTATGTGTTGGTTTGGAGTTTTTTTCTTCGGAGGGGTGCATATTAGCACAGACCTTAGCTTTGTACAAAAAAGATACCAATCAGAAGGTATTATTAAAAAAGTACATATGCATAAATCTACTCTAACTACACAAAAACGTAGATGACAATCCTTTGCCCATTGCTAACAGTTTGGTCCAGTGTTTAAAGGAAAGGTATGTTTATAGTTGATTCTAAAATATATGGCACAAGTCTCCCAGATTTCACTTTCCGTTTCTTCAGTGCAAAAGCCTGGTTGAAGAATGTAACAAAAAAGATGGATAAAGGTGAAGTTCAAGTATTTTGAAATATACTTCCTTGTCCTATTTTCCACTGACTTTATGTCCTTATATGGCACAATTATAGAATTATTGCAATTATATTGTCAACTATGACAGCTAAATTAGATTTTACTCTGAGAAAATGACTAAATAAACATTACCAAGAAACACTGGGAAATCATTAATGGGATTTTTGAATGAGTAGAGTTGATAATGCAGCAACACAACAAAGAGTTAATGCTGGCTGGATGCAACAAAGCTGAGTGCGTTCTACATGCACAAGAAGGTGAAGATATATTTTAAAGGATGTCCAAAATGAAGATATAGTTGTATGGCTTAGCCCTACAGAAAGTGACCTGATTTTCAAGAATGCTAACCAGGCATCTCCTAACACACACATTATGAAAGGCAACATTAAAAACTAAGTATAATTTTCGAAAGAATGGAACATAAGTTCTTGAGTGACTGACACTTCTTGGCAAAAATTTATTAATAACTCTTCCCTAAAAGGTAGCATACACAAATATGTGTACTAACTATATTTATATTGTTACTTTCCATAACCAGAAAATTTAAGCCACATGAAATGCATGCAAAGAAAGTTGAGTCAAATTTTATTCTTTTGTTCTCCCATAAAACTGACTTGAAATAACTGTTGGCAACAGATTCAAATGACTGAATGAAATTCAAATGAATACATTGAGAAACTGAAACTCAGGAGCAACTCAAAACACTCTGTGACATGTTTCATTGAAAATGATTCGCTTTACAGGGAACAGTGTTATTTCAGTGTAGTGGGACCTTTGCATACTGTTTCCAAAACACACAGCATAGCATGCAATAATTAAATATTACTGCCAACATAACACTAGTCTCACTTGAAAGTGATGGTTCTGTACTGCAGTCATAATTGTTACCACTAACCCACAGATCAGGAGTCTTTAGACATATGCATGTATTTTTAAGACAGGCAGAATTTCTTCAGTTGCACTCATTATACTTGTGCTTAATGCTTAGCTGCCACTTCCCACATTGAAAATTTAAGAGAGCATGAATAAAACACCAACAGTGAACTCCTAGATTCCTTCCATGCAATCTGAAGAGAAATAAACACAAACAAAATAGGTAGAAAAATCCCTGAAAAGGGTGAAAAAAGTAAAGCTAACACAATACTCTCCCTTTCTCCTTTGAGGGTCCAGGGCTCTTCCTATGGTGCTAATTATGTGCTTGCTGCAAGGGCTCTGCAGGGCTTCCAGGCACGTGTTTGTTGGCAGAGAAGCAGCAAGCTGATATAATCCTGTAGGCTTCATTCCAAGATGTGTCCACA